TCATACTAGCTCCAATGGCTTTATTTTACGTTTCCTGTTGTTCTTTAGTTCCGCGGTGCTGCTGTTATTAGTGGTGTGGCTGTTATTACCGGCGCGGCTGTTATTATAGCTGCTGCTGTTACTGTTACCTATTACAGATTTGTAATTGGCTGCTAATAGCTGCAGGAGCAATGTTCATGGTGTTCCATCTTGATGTCTGGGTATCTTCTCTGTTACATTCACTGCGGTGCACTGCTGGGCTCTGGTCTCAGCTCCTGGGCTCACCTTGCACCTTCGTAAACTCCTGAAACATTAAAAGGAGTCTCTGCACTCATGTGAGTATGTACTCACCTATATGTGGTTGCAGGGGTCGATTCACGGCTCCTGGCCCCCGCCTCTTCACTGCTCCAAGAGCTTTATCATACCTCTTCTTAAAGCAATGTATGGGTCTTGCCTCCACTACTTCACTCTCCAGATCGTCCACTTCCTGACAACTCTAAAGCTGAAGAAATACTTCCTGACATCTCTACGACTCATCTGAATTTTCACCTTCTAGTTGTGCCCTCTTGTTCCTGTGTGTACTCACCTATATGTGGTTGCAGGGGTCGAGTCACAGTTCCTGGATCCCTGTGAGTGTGTGTGTGTGTGTGTGTGTGTGTGTGTGTGAGTAACAATCTCTTTTTGAGTTTACGTTCTTAATTGTAAGTTTTAATCGCTTAATATGACAGATTGTAAAGAATATGCGAGGCTCTCGTAGCTTCGACACACCGAGTGACAGCTAACACACTGGCTGACGAGGTTATTTACTGACATAGACGTCTCCAGATTACCAGGCTGTTGCTACCTTCTCGGCTGGCATAGGTTGGTGCCCTCTCAGCTGACATAGGTTGCTACCCTCTCAGCTGACACAGGTTGCTACCCTCTCAGCTGACACAGGTTGCTACTCTCTCACACAGGTTGCTACTCTCTCAGCTGACACAGGTTGCTACCCTCTCAGCTGGCACAGGTTGCTACCCTGTCAGCTGGCACAGGTTGCTACCCGTACTGTCATGTCTGGCACAGGTTGCTACCTTTCAGCTGACACAGGTTGCTATCCTCTCAGGTGACACAGGTTGCTATCCTCTCAGCTGACATAGGTTGCTATCCTCTCAGCTGACTTAGGTTGCTATCCTCTCAGCTGACATAGGTTACTATCCTCTCAGCTGGCACAGGTTGCTATCCTCTCAGCTGGCACAGGTTCCTATCTTCTCAGCTGACATGTCTCAGCCACCACAGTGAATGTTACTTACGACACACTTCATACCCAGCAGAGGTAGTCCACAGCAGGAGGTTGTTAAGGTCGAAGCGATGGAAACTCTGCCGGGAAGAGACAAGGAATTCTCTGACTACGACCTGACCTTCCTTCAAACCAGAGACCGTGACCTGACCTACTAGAGACTACTCTAACAAGGTAAGGAGACAAAATATACTTGTTCTCTCACTATTCCAGTGGAGTACATATAAGATAACAAGAATGTGGGAGGAACTGGTAATGTGTAGTTGGAAGAAAAGTCTTTTCGTTATGAAGGACGGGACAAAAACAAATACTAAGACTTACGGGTAGAAAACAGTCCAAATAGTTTCCTGACAAATATAAATATTGAATCTAAATATTAGAGGAATACAGTTAGAAGCCTGAGATCTATCACTGTGACAATATGAACGTAGATCAGCACGTTGAAATGTGAATTCTGACTGATGTTGTAGTAGCCAGACTTGGCTTGGTTACAAGGAAGGGACTGATGTTGTAGTAGCCAGACTTGGCTTGGTTACATGGAAGGGACTGATGTTGTAGTAGCCAGACTTGGCTTGGTTACATGGAAGGGACTGATGTTGTAGTAGCCAGACTTGGCTTGGTTACATGGAAGGGACTGATGTTGTAGTAGCCAGACTTGGCTTGGTTACAAGGAAGGGACTGATGTTGTAGTAGCCAGACTTGGCTTGGTTACAAGGAAGGGACTGATGTTGTAGTAGCCAGCTTGATTACAAGGAAGGGACTAAGGGGTAGGAAGTGCTGGTACACTCGAAGCATTAAACTGTACAATGATACATAGGATAAGTGAGGGTAAGTGAACTAGTTATCGCCTTCCTCTGATTCTAATGTTACTCCCGCCACAGGAAGCATGAAGGTGATCGTGTCAGTGTTGTGTCTGGTCGCTGTGGCCTCCGCCAGGATGGCCTACAGGTTCTCAGACGGCTACCTGGAAGTCCTAGGTGCCGAACCACAACATACTTTCGACTGCAACGGCCGCTCCTACGGTTACTACGCCGACGTTCCTACCGACTGCCGCGTCTTCCACGTCTGCCTGCCCATCTCTGACGACCTGGGAGAGACAGTAGAGATGGCACACTTCTCCTTCTTCTGTGGTAACCAGACAGTGTTTAGTCAGGAGTCCCTCACCTGCTCACACCCGCAGGAGGCCTTTCCCTGTGACCAGGCGGAAACTCTCTACGACCTTTCCAACGCTGACTTCGGCAAGATCCCCGACGACAACCAGTAGTTCGCAGACACGATAACAATCTGGCGCCGCTAAAACGATATCTGTGATATCAACGTCATGTTTTTATAAAAAAAATAGGCTTAGGCCAGTAGAAATAAAGTGCTATGTTTTATTCTGTTGATTATTATTGTTATTACCCTGCAAATAAATAATAAAAAGGCACAATACCGGTCCAAGTCGGACCGAAACGTCGTCGTAAGCTTCTCTCTTTTAAGTGCGGGTTATTTGTGTATTACCCTGCAACATTTATTGCTAAGTACAATGTGAGTTTAATAGTAGTAGTAGCAATAGTGGTGCTAGTAGTAGTAGTAATAGTAGTAGTAGTAGTAGTAGTAGTAGTAGTGGTGGTGGTAGTAGTAGTAGTAGTAGTAGTAGTGGTGGTAGTAGTAGTAGTAGTAGTAGTGGTGGTAGTAGTAGTAGTAGTAGTGGTAGCTGTGGTAGTAGTAATGGTGCTAGTAGTGGCAGTAATAGTAGTAGTAGTAATAGTAGCACGACCACACTGGTGGTCCTGGGCCACACTGGTGGTCCTGAGCCACACTAGTGATCCTAGACCACTGGTGGTCACGGACCACACTGGTGGTTCTGGGCCACAGTGGTGGTCCTGTACCTCACTAGTGGTCCTGAACCACACTAGTGGCTCTGGACTACACTAGTGGTCCTGAACCACACTAGTGGTTCTGGACTACACTAGTGGTCCTGGACTACACTAGTGGTCCTGAACCACACTAGTGGTTCTGGACTACACTAGTGGTCCTGGACTACACTAGTGGTCCTGACCACACTAGTGGCTCTGGACTACACTAGTGGTCCTGAACCACACTAGTGGTTCTGGACTACATCTAGTGGTCCTGGACTACACTAGTGGTCCTGAACCACACTAGTGATTCTAGACTACACTAGTGGTCCTTAGCTACACTGTGGTCTTGGACTACACTAGTGGTCCTGAACCACACTAGTGATTCTAGACTACACTAGTGGTCCTGGACTACACTAGTGGTCCTGAACCACACTAGTGATTCTAGACTACACTAGTGGTCCTGGACTACACTAGTGGTCTGGACTACACTAGTGGTCCTGAACCACACTAGTGGTCCTGGACTACACTAGTGGTCCTGATACCACACTAGTGGTTCTGGACTACACTAGTGGTCCTGGACTACACTAGTGGTCCTGGACTACACTAGTGGTCCTGAACCACACTAGTGGTTCTGGACTGCACTAGTGGTCCTGGACTACACTAGTGGTCCTGGACTACACTAGTGGTCCTGGACTACACTAGTGGTCCTGGACTACACTAGTGGTCCTGGACTACACTAGTGGTCCTGGACTACACTAATGGTCCTGAACCACACTAGTGGTCCTGGACTACACTAGTGGTTCTGGACTACACTAGTGGTCCTGAACCACACTAGTGGTCCTGGACTACACTAGTGGTTCTGGACTACACTAGTGGTCCTGGACTACACTAGTGGTCCTGGACTACACTAGTGGTCCTGGACTACACTAGTGGTCCTGGACTACACTAGTGGTCCTGGACTACACTAGTGGTCCTGGACTACACTAGTGGTCCTGAACCACACTAGTGGTCCTGGACTACACTAGTGGTCCTGGACTACACTAGTGGTCCTGGACTACACTACTGGTCCTGAACCACACTAGTGGTCCTGGGTCACCCTAGTGGTCCTGGACCACACTGCTGGTCCTCTACCTCACTTGTGGTCCTGGACCACACTAGTGGTCCTGGACCACACTAGTGGTACTGAACCACACTAGTAGTCTTGGGTCACACTAGTGGTCCTGGACTACACTAGTGGTCTTGAACCACACTAGTGGTCCTGGGTCACACTAGTGGTCATGGACTACACTAGTGGTCCTGAACCACACTAGTGGTCCTGGGTCACACTAATGGTCCTGGACCACACTGCTGGTCCTCTACCTCGCTAGTGGTCCTGGACCACACTAGTGGTCCTGGACCACACTAGTGGTCCTGAACCACACTAGTGGTCCTGGGTCACACTAGTGGTCCTGGACCACACTGCTGGTCCTCTACCTCACTAGTGGTCCTGTAAGTAAGTAAGTAAGTAAGTTTATTCAGGTATACACAATACAGTTACATAGAATTATCATACATAGCAGCATATGTGTAGAGAACCTGGGATAACCCAAAAAAGTCAGACAGAGTGACTTATTTCCATTGGGGTCCTTTTACCTTATTATTATAGTATAAAGGTTATAATATTTTCTTATTATTCTACAATGAAGATAACATCTTATTATCATACTAAAAAGACTATCTACTACACGAGGGTCATTAAGACTATCTACAATACGAGGGTCATTAAGACTATCTACTACCCGAGGGTCATTACGACTATCTACAATACGAGGGTCATTACTAGGGATAAGGTAAAATTTACACGTATTTTAGCTAAAAAATAGAAAATCATTCCCTCCCTTTCTGTTGCTTCATTCATCAGACACTTTTTGGCAGTCTTCTTGAACTGGTTCAAGCTATGACTGGCCTTGACATTGTGGGTAGTCTGTTCCATTCCTTTATTGCTGTACAATAAAAGGTGTTTGACGCCTGGCCACTGACTGTGGGTACTAACAAAGTTGTGCTCTCTCCCCCTAGTACTATGATTGCTGCGGTTCCCAACCTTGACAAAATTGACAGCAAGATATTCTGGACACTGTTCGTGAGCAATTTATAAACTGATTTAGCTTCAGTTGTTTTACTCTGTCTTCAACATTCAGCAATCCAACTGTGTAATTCTTTCCTGGCCTACATGTTCTCTTGGTCCAGCCCCAGGATAAATCTTACGATTTTGTTCTGGGTGATTTGCAGTCTATCTTTCAGTTTTTTTGTCAAAGCAGAGTACCATGAAGACAAGCGTAATCCATATGGCATTGTAAAGGGCTAGACATAGGGGCCTGCGAGCCTCAGTAGGTAGAACATGTGCTTGTCTATACAGGAACTTCAGCCTGGCATTCGCTTTCTTTACTACACTGTTCCCTATCATTCTCCTGACATGCATGGATCAAAGGGGATTCCCCGATATTTAACTGATGAAACCAAAGTGATGGGCTCCCCATTACACTGAACATTAAAATATTTACCCTTCTCAGTTTATGTTTTTGTTCCAAAGAGAATGGCTTCAGTTTTCCCTAGGTGTAATGATAGTTTTTTTGTCTACTAACCATTTTCTGCAGGACTCCAGTTCCAGTGTTAAAACATTAGCAATATCTTGTGGGGCTTTACCCGTCACTAACGAGCACTGCATCTGCATACAGTAGGAGTTTGCACTTGACATGATAGGCATATCATTTACATAACATAAGAATAATAAGGGACCAGAATACTACCTTGGGGAACTCCACATGTTATCGGCAGGGGTTCTGATTCCGTTTTGTTGATTTTGACTATTTGTCTCCTGTTGCTAAGGTAGGACTTAAACCAGTCTACAGAAACCCATACCCATAGCTTGAAGTTTCTTACTAATATATTGTGGTTGACAGTATCGAAGGCCTTTTTGCAGGTCTTTAAAGGGTTTCCATACCTATGAGGTTCCCTTTTGAAAATTTCAGTTCTCAGGTAATCCATCAGATTAATAAGGGAGTATCGGTTGAGTAGGATCTTCTAAAGCCCGATTGATAGCTATGGAGAATGTTGTTATTAAGGTATTAACTACTTGAGAATACACCGCCCTCTCCAGAATTTTAGATATTATACTGAGTATACTAACAGGTCTATAGTTGCTGACATCAGACCTATTATTTTTCTTGAAGATAGGAGTAACTCTGGCCTCCTTGAACCCCTCCGGTACGGTATTAGTGGTGATTGATAGATTTATTATGTGAGCAATAGGGATTGACAGTTCAGAAGCGCCATCTTTTAGGAACTTAGACGGGATGTTATCAGGGCCTGTGCTCTTAGTTGGGTTTAACCTGCTTAGTTCTTTTTGAATGAAGTCATGAGATACACTTACTAGTTGACAACTGTTTGGGGTTACCCCTTTATTGGTATAGTATGTTTGAAACTTATCCACACTAGTGGAAAGTATCAGCTCCGGGTCCTCACACGACCATTCATGCTCGTCCTGCGCCGTCATCTCTAAGATGCAAATATTATTCTCACCGTCACTACCAGCAACAATATTATTCTCACCGTCACTACCAGCAACAATATTATTCTCACCGTCACTACCAGCAACAATATTATTCTCACCGTCACTACCAGCAACAATATTATTCTCACCGTCACTACCAGCAACAATAACAACAGTGTACCTGTTTGCCATCTACAACACTGTTACAATCCCCAGGTAAATCTCCAGGTAAATCTCCAGGTAAATCTCCAGGTAAATCCCCAGGTAAATCTCCAGGTAAATCTCCAGGTAAATCTCCAGGTAAATCCCCAGGTAAATCCCCATATAAATCCCCAGGTAAATCCCCATATAAATCCCCAGGTAAATCCCCAGGTAATCCTCAGGTAAATCCCCAGGTAAATCTCCAGGTAAATCTCCAGGTAAATCCCCAGGTAAATCCCCAGGTAAATCCCCAGGTAAATCCCCATATAAATCCCCAGGTAAATCCCCAGGTAAATCTCCAGGTAAATCCCCAGGTAAATCCCCAGGTAAATCCCCAGGTAAATCCCCAGGTAATCCTCAGGTAAATCCCCAGGTAAATCCCAGGTAAATCCCCAGGTAATCCTCAGGTAAATCCCCAGGTAAATCCCCAGGTAAATCCCCAGGTAAATCCCCAGGTAATCCTCAGGTAAATCCCCAGGTAAATCTCCAGGTAAATCCCCAGGTAAATCCCCAGGTAAATCCCCAGGTAAATCCCCAGGTAAATCCCCAGGTAAATCCCCAGGTAATCCCCAGGTAAATCCCCAGGTAAATCCCCAGGTAATCCTCAGGTAAATCCCCAGGTAAATCCCCAGGTAAATCCCCAGGTAATCCTCAGGTAAATCCCCAGGTAAATCCCCAGGTAAATCCCCAGGTAAATCCCCAGGTAAATCCCCAGTTGCATGATCACCAATACCAGGAAGGAAATAAAGTGTAGACCGGCACTAGTTCCTAGTAGACTAGCAAGACCTGCTAGTAGCCTAGTACCAGT